CTTGAATGTGTGCGCCTCATCCCCCTTTCACTGGGAACACACACAGTGTGCAGAGAGTCCCCAGGGGCTGCAGGACTGCATAGAGTCTGCACAGAACATAGTTGCCAAGTACATAGCTGTCAGTTCACTCAGAAAACTCGGGAGGCACATTGTTGTGAGAGTCCTCGCCCAGTTCTCTTGGTGGTTTAAGCAAATCTCTCAGGGAGATGATCTGCATCTACGGCCTGCACTGGGGGGAGGTGATATCACAAGGTGGGGAAAAAGTGGGCAGGGCTAAATGGCGATAGGGCACAAAGCCCAGAAACTCCGGCCTCAGCCTCACCTATCTGCATGTACCCACAAAGAGGGAAGCAGGAAAAGGGGTAGTAGTGGCAGAGTGGTGCTGGTTGGCAGAAAGGTGTGGGGTGCAATGTCAGGGGCGCTATAAGGCAGGGAGGTCCAGAGTCAGAGGTGCCAGTATTTGCTGGGTGACACGGAGAATGCAATGTCAGGGTTCTGAGTGCCAGGAGTACTGTGTTCTTCATAGGCCTAGATGAAAAAGCTGTTTGCTTGCAAGTCAACAAAGAGACTTCTTCAACTGAGCGCCACCTATTCTGGTGTAGGCTTCTGGGCTGCATATGCATGTAAAAGAGACCATCTTTATGTACACAATCCCATATAATCCATGTCTATTCATCATTTTTTTTTAAGTGTCAGTATGTAACTTGGTAATTAGATATGTACATGGGTGCACCATATGTGCTCATTACAGTACATCTGTCGGCTCTGCTTCCTGCATAGGAGTGTTTTTGTGTATCCTTTGTTTCATCATGTCATTATGGCAGATATATTTCTTCATTGCTTACACAGGCTCTGCTTACTGCTCAAAGGTTGTACTTTAGGCTGGCTATACACCGATATCACCGGTGGCCATTGTCCGAATACCTGAACGGTGCCTGCAGATGATTGGCTGAAAGCACCATTCGGCCGAAGATTGGCTCCTTTGATCTTCTGATCAAGAGATGCCAGCCGGGAGGGTGCTGACCGGGGCACCCACTGTGCAAATTCTGGCCATTGTATAAAGAACCGGCCAAAATTGACATAGTGCATGGCCAGCTTTTACTCCTCTCAATTCAAGTCTGAGTCGGCTGAATAATTGAAAACTGTGCACTCCCTATGTGGCAGTTATCTTATCTCTACAGTTAGAGAGATTGTAGTGACTAATCTACCCTGCCTCTGTTGCTAATCTACAATTCTCTATGTTTAAAGCAGTAGCAAAAACATAGAAAAACAAGAATGTAGAAATATAACGGTGACATCAAAAATGAACACTGCAAAATAACAAACTGCGTTCTCCCTGAAAATGCACCTAGTTCTCCTTCTTTTACTATATAGCAGTCTTGTGATGGAATATAGTAAGAGATGAGAGAATGTTGGGGGCCTTGTGTAGGGAAAATGGTTTATGCCCCATTCACCCATCTCTGTCAATGTGCCATCTGGCCAATGGTTTCTTTCTGCTGTTGGCTTACGTTTTATGATGTTCTGGTATGCTCTTCTACGTTCAATGCTGCACCATGCCTTCCCACCATGACATATAATCACACTCATTTGCTTACAGCTCCAGCTATTTTTTTTTAGTGACTTTATGGCCTAGTTACACTTGTCTGTGTTCATGCAGTAAAACGTATGCAGTTTGCTACATGATAATGTATTGCAAGTAGACATCCTATTTCCTATGTGGCTGGTTCACATTTGTGAGATGCAGTTTAGTGTGTAAAGGAAAGGTAAACTATATGGGTCCATTTACATTAAAATTGATCTGCACCAGGAAAGGCGCCCCTCTTGTGCTTATTTCCTAGAGTCTCAGCTTTCCCGGCTTCTTTGGGGCAGCATCCTGCAGTATGCCTAAGAGGATTTTCCACTAAGGATGGACAGTCCGCGGTGCTTCACTGTTTTTACCCCATTTACAACTATGCATGTGCATTACCATACACGCTGCATGCACCTCTGAAGTGTAGGATGTTTAGGTGTAGCTGTTTTAGGGCTAGTTCCCACCAGATTCAGTTGTGAGCAGTCCGTTTAGTTTGGCTGCTGCATCCAAAATACGTCACAATGCTTTCCTATGGGATCTCTGATGCGCCTCTCACACCAGTGCAGTCCATTCTGATGCGGTCACAAAAAATCCTTATTGTTTCCCTGCATGGACTGGGTTATGAACTGTGCAAGATGACCTCATTCTTCACCTGACTCCCCTTCTACTTCAAGTGAAAAGCACTTCAATCTTAAAATACCAACTTCATAATAATGAAATCAGAATGATTTGTTACCTGAATACAGTATTGTTTACTTTACATTGACTGACTGCTCCCTTCTTGTTATGCCTGTTTAACTGAGCAGTTTCTGGATGCGTTGTTTGATTGGAACATAACAACTGTACTGTTCCAGATTCCAACTATATGCATCTCAAGGCATTGGGAATATTTATCCTTTTGTTGATTTGGGATTGAAATCTCTGTCTGGGTGCTTAGCATCAGCCACTCTTGTACAGCTTATGAAATTTCATGGAGTATGCTGAGGCTATGGAGTCGGAGGGCATTTTCTGTGAAATAAAGACCCTAGTGTGGGTGTGCCGCATTAGCATCATAATAACAAGCTTTACTGGGAGTATCAAGAGAGCTATTAATCTGGCATCGCTGCGCCGTACACATTCCCTCTTATTAGTTCTACAAGGTCTTTCTGATGTGTAGCCTTCCTCCCTGCTGCCGCAGAGACTCTATTTATAAAGTGCTTCCTTGGGAAGGCCCATTGCTCAGCCGTTTTCTTTCGTTCCTGTCTACTTCACTGTCTTCTAGAGGAAGCATTTTCTGCAGAGTAGCAGAATGCTTTTTTTTCCGTCTTTGACACATGCACATTGGCCTTGAAAAATAAGAAAACCCCATGCGATTGATAATTCAGTACTAGGTAGGAATAGCTGCTTTCATACCTGCTGTGTTCCATCCATTACCAAGACCTTTTAGCTTCTGTCTAGTCACTACAGACAAGGTTCCTTCAATGGATTTTCAGTTACCATCTTGTTTTGAATTGTATTGCGACTGCAATGTCTTCCTTATATTGTACAGCGCTGCGCAAACTGTTGTATAAATCCTGTATAGTAATAATAATACTGCAGATTATGGTGATAAGATAGTCCTGGAGCAAACGGTTAGGAAGCTGTAGCCAGCAGATATTGCTTCTGGGGTAACATAGATATACATAGGCAGTGGTTGTAGGCTGAGGTACACTAGTGTCCATTTCGATCTTTTATTTATATATGCTGCATGTATCATACTTTAGGCTTATCTTTGCACCTATGTGCATTCTTCTGCGATTTTCATGCATGCTGTAGTTTAATTTTAAACCTCCTAGTATGTAAGGGCAGGTGCCTACACAGTTTGCCTTTCTGTGTTTTTTTTCTGATATGCATTCAGATTTGATCAGCTTGATGTTTGTGTATATTTTGTAACTTTATATGTGCAATATGAGCATGTATTTGTTATTACATACATGGGCTTCCTGCTTGTAAGTGCTTTACAATGGTTGTGCTTTAGGCCTGGTTCACACCTGGGCGTTTTGTAGCGCGTTCCTACGCTCTGCAAAACGCTCAAACACCGAAATCCCAACATTTCCTATGGGTATCGTTCACACCTTGGCTACAAAATGCCCTACGCCCCAAAGAAGTACAGGAGCTTCTTTGGGGCGCGTATCCATTGGGATACAGCCAAGTAGCCCTCGGAAACGCGTGTTTGTTGCACGTTTTTTTACCGCGAATCGCTGTAAAAACGTGCAGCACGCGCGCATATTCGATACGCCTAGGTGTGAACCCAGCCTTACTGCTTCTTCTCAAGGTGCCCATACACTGCACGATCGTACGAGAATCGTGCAGTGTATGGAAGGCGTGCGACCGTTTCTACTGTACGGTCGCACGTCTTCCATCGAACCAGCATGTTTGAAAACCCGCCGGGAATCGTACGATTCTCGGCGAGTTGGTGGCCTGCTGGTTCGACAACTGCCGAATGGGCCGGTGTGCGCACGCGCACACTGCCCGTTTGCAGTCAGCGTAAGCCCGCCCCTCATTACAGTCATCGCAAGCCCGCCCCTCAGGGGGCGTGGCTTGCGATGATCGAGAGTGCGATCTGCCCGTCCAAGATGGCGTCCTCACATCATATACACTGTATAGGACCCACAGGACCATAGACTGCCAGAACAGAGGGGTAGTAAGATGGCCGGAACCGTCCTAACAGCCAGCTGGCTGTGAGGTTCTGGTGAGTATAATTATGTTAATTTTTGACCCTAGACGAAAACGAGCACTTAGCCCTTGCAGTGTGTAGGTAGTCCCACTGCAAGGGTTAAAGAGTAATTATGCCCAGAATTCTTTTTTAAAGTAGTATTAAAGGCTGTCACTGCAGACAGTCCCAGCGATCCACGGCTGGGAACACGCAACACTGGTGCCTCCACAGCAGCCACTAAGCTTCTGCAATAAAGACCGTCTCCCACTGATAACCAACCCCCCCCCCAAAAAAAAAACCCTAAAGCTTTAATATCGCTTTAACATAATTAATACAATCATTAAACCACAGATATCTTCTGTAAATGGTACCTCAATGTATGCATTTATGCACATATATAAATATTAAGAATACCTCTTATACAAAATCAAACGTTATTCCTATAATTGCATACATACAGTATATAGAAAAGCTCATGAATAGAACTATCTCATTAAAAACATTATGTAACATTGGAGGAAAGTAGCATGTAAAATATAGTTTGTGTGAGTTTGTTCTAAATGCCTGCTGATTATTAATGATGTAAAAGCTGTTTCTTTTCCTTTTTCTTCCCTAATTTAAAGCCTCCAATAGTAACATCTGCATAGCTCATTAAGTGTTGACTGTCTCCCTTTGCTGAATAGCCTTGATGTGACGACATATATGTAGTGTTTTATCACATGACCATTAGCCATTTTGTTGTCTCTTATTTTTAAGGATGGGGTGACTCAGTTGGCTCTCCTTCAGAGACCGGCATGACCTATGATGCCCTTCATGTCTTTGACTGGATCAAGGCCAGAAGTGGGGACAATCCTGTCTACGTCTGGGGGCACTCTTTGGGGACAGGGTAAATATAATAAATCCTCCATTAGAACTAAGAACGTACAGATAATGCTATCGTTTTTCTAACTTTTTTTTTTTTTTAAACTATTGAGTGACTGGGAGTTCACTTGCTACAGCATTAGGCCCCATTCACACTGAGCGATTTATCGAGCGTTTTTTGCAGCGATATCGCTCATATTTCCACGCGATATCGCTCTATGTAGCTTCTCCAATCCATTTCAATGGAGCTGTTCACATCTCGTCGCTCAATATCGCTTGTAGCTCGTCGCTGGTAGCTTGTCGCTCCTACATGACCCTTTTTTCGAGCGATATTGCTCCTGATTGCATACAGCCAAATAGGAAAAAGTAGCGCGACAAGTCGCTCAATATCGCTCGTCGCGCAATATCGCTCAAAATCACGCGATTTTCATGTCGCTCAGTGTGAGAGGGGCCTAAGGCCCCGTTCACATTGAGCGATTTATCGCGCAGTAATTCCCGCGGTATCGCGGCTATTTACCGCGCGATATCGCTCTTCAATGCTTTGCAATGGGGCAAAGGGTCCTGCTGTTGTGGGTCGTGTGTCGCTACAGCAGGACCCTTTTGGGAGCGGATTTTGCCGCGATTTCAGCTTGCTCAATGCAAGCATTTGCATTGAGTAGTACTGTAGTGGACTGGGCTTTAAACTCTGCATTAATAAACATTTCTGTAGAGAACAGAGGCAGGAAGGATGACCTTCATTACTCTGGGAGAGAATGTCAAACCATGGGTCGAATTAGACTTATAGATTTCAAGATAATAATGTAACTATAGACTGATAAATTTTAGTTGTGTATTTTTTATCCCTTCTACTATATCATACATTATGGCTCAAACATTGCAATGGTGTAAATGTCTCACTCACTGTGTTGTGTGATTTTCAGTGTTGCCACAAACTTGGTGCGGAGATTGTGTGAAAGAGGTAAGCATTCTGTTTAACTCTATATTTTCCAAAGTACTCCGCTTTGCTATGTGCATGAATGTATAATTCATCTGTATTGTTGCTTGGCAGCTGCATGATAGGTCTTCAGTAAGAGCGTGTTCGCAGCTCCATGTGCCCAGCCTGCCAGGAAGCTGACAGCGCGCAGCACCAATCAGAGGCACTGAGACATTTCCCGATCTCTGCAGCTGCGGACCGGGAAAATGTCTCAGTACCTGTGATTTGGCGCTGCGCGCTGTCAGCTTCCTGGCGGGCTCGGCACGTGGAGTTGCGAACACGCCTGAGCCCATCCTTAGTCCTCAGGCCCTCAAGGCATTTTCTTTGTGGTGAAGGAAAGTCTGAACTGGCCCACTAAACAGCTCACTTAGGAAAGCAGACTAAAAATGATCATGAGCTTTTAATATTTGTTCTCATTTCTCTTTTGAGTAGATGTTTTTATCACTTCATCAAGAGAGTTAAATAAATCAATGAGTAGCAGCTATAGTATTGTTCTTTACACCAGTAAAAGCCAATTATACCCATATTCTAATTTATTGGACTGTAAAATTCTGAGCCAGTCTCTCAAACCTCCCATTTCGGATTTTGTTCTTTATTGTTTATAATGCGTCTTTGAGTATATTCTGCTGCAAAAGCTCTATTAAATATGATGACATGTATTAATAAAACACACTAATAATACTGAAGACTTATTCTTCAGATAATATACCTTTATATCCAGGGGATATGCCCCTACTGCTAATTCATAGTGATTCACATGTGATTGTATGTAAGCCCAGAATATGATCAGCAGATGAATATTCTGATGAATCAATTATTTGGTTGCTATGAGTTACGCATTTTTGTTTGCTTTATTTTATGCCCTGTGTTTACTAGAAATACTAATGTCTTCTGATGTTTACTTTATATTACTTTATTCATATACTGTGCTTTGCCAAGGTTATCACCCCGTTTGGTGTTTTTCCTGTTTCATTGCATTACAACCTGAAGTAAAATTGATTTTTTTTAAGTTTGTACTATGTGATAGGCATGTGATGTATATCACTTTCTGGGTGCAAAATATTTTTTACATTGACACAAACAATTATTAAGACAAAACACACTGAAATCTTGAGTGGGGTATTCACCCCCTTTGCTATTGGCCTTGGCCACCTGCCAGAACTCACAGACTGGGCATGAAGGGAATTAATCAGACATGCAACAAAACCCCCACAGATAACTCTGAAGGAGCTGCAATGATCCACAGAGGAAATGGGAGTATCTGTCCATAGGACCCTTTTAAGTAGTATACTTTACAGAGCGGAACTTTATTGAAGAGTGGGCATTACAAAATAATTGCCAAAAGAAAATAAAAATACACATTTGCAGTTCACCAAGCAGCATGTGGTAGACTCCCAGAACACATGGAGGAAGTTTCCCTGTTCAGATGAGTCAATAATTAACTAGGGGTGCACCGAAATTTTAAACCGAAACAGAATTTTTTTTTTCTAACCTTTGTAAGTTTTTTAAAAAATATTTAATTTTTTATAAACTTTTTTTTTTTAACTATACTTTGGGGGCTTTGGTGAAATATCAGAGGTCTAAACAGACCCCTGATATTTCCCTTTTGAAATAGGAAAAAAAAGAGACCGAGAACACAGAGTAATCAATCTCTTATTCTCCAGCCTCTGTTATAAATGAACAGGAAGCCTCTATACACTGAGTGTTGTTGTTGTTATTATTATACAGGATTTATATCGCGCATTATTATGCAGGATTTATTTGTGCAGCGCTTTGTTCATTCATACAGTGTGGAGATAGTATGTTTACTATCTCCACAATTATGAATGAACAGGAAGTGATGTAGATCACTTCCTATTCATTCATAACTGGAATATAATAACTCATACTATGTCCAGTTATTTACAAACAGTCAGCAATCAGCTGATCGCTGACTGCTTGTACTGGTCTCTATCCTGACTAGCTCTCACAGTTGAGTTGGCGGTGCGGGGAGGAGAGCTTGGTCTATTTTGACAGCTGACTCGGGCTCCTGGGACAGTGCACAGCTGTCTTCGCCCCCACACAACTCTCCACCCTAAAAGGTCAGAGTAGCCTGTGGGGGGAGGTGCGGGAGGAGAGCCCGGCCTCTTGTGACAAGCAGGTTGTTCACAACGTCTTGGAATGGCCTAGTCAAAGCTCAGACCTCAATATAATTGGAAATCTGTGTCATAACTTGAAGATTGCTGTACACCAACGCAACCCAATTAACTTGAAGGAGCTGGAGCAGTCTGCCTTGAAGAATGGGCAAACATGTCAGTGGCTAGATGTGCTAAGCTGATCGAGACATATCCCAAGAGACTTGCAGCTGTAATTGCAGCAAAAGGTGGCTTTACAAAGTATTGACTTTTGGGGGTATATTCTTATGCACACTCTAGATTTCTGTTTGGTTTTTTTTTAAATATTTGTTGGAGTCACAATAAAAATGATTTTACAGCCACCAAGTGGTATGCATGTTGTATACATCATATGGTACAAACCCTCCAAAAGCCCATTTTTTATTCCAGGTTGTAATGCGATATAACAGGAAAACAACAAGGAGGATGAACACTTTCTCAAGGCGCTTTAATATTGTGCACTTACTTGCAGTAGCCTGAACCATTACATAGAATGTATGCTTTGTAACATTTTGCAGAAACACCTCCTGATGCCTTGATTCTTGAATCACCTTTTACAAATATCCGTGAAGAGGCAAAAAGTCATCCTTTTTCAGTGGTAAGCACCAAATCTGTGTTTTGTTGCTACTGAAAGCAAAATAGGCCTACGTCTAGTTCTTCTGATCCTGAAGGTGGTTTTTGTGATTGGGCCATTGAATTTGTGTTCAATGTGATTTCTGATCCTCATAGAAAGGTATAGTGTTTGTATACACTTTATTATGTTCGGATTTAAGTCCAGTGCATAGTAAATGTAAAATTTGCTTATGAATATTTCATAAATACTTTCACAGGCAACAAACAGGTTGAGCTCAAGGCTGTTTTACCTGTATATAAGTAGAATCTGTAGCATGTTGTATATAGAGCTCAAGAGCTCAAAATTACATTTAGAAATAGAACTTAATGAGCCAGGTGACTATCTCCTCTTCGTATCTCTTTCAGGAGGAGGGGATGAGACATGGGGCACATGGAGCAGTCAGTTTTGCTTAAAGGCACACAGCTTCTGCTCTGCTCTCTTTAGAAAACCCACAAAGCTCTGTGAATCTTGTGTCATGAGTGCCACCTTTTAAAGTTTGCAAAATAAAAATTGCATATAAAATACATATAAATAAAACATGAAAAAAAATCAAATAAAATTGACCCAAAACCATAATAATTTGCTTTTAATGTTATCCCAATAGGAAGATAGTCATTGGTACAGGAAAATTAGATGTTACCATGAAATTATGGATGTGTCTAACTAGTATGCTAATATTCTTTATGATGCTGTTCTAGGTTTACAGATATTTCCCAGGTTTTGATTGGTTTTTCCTTGATCCCATCACAGCAAGTGGCATCAAGTTTGCCAATGATGAAAAGTAAGTCTGTAATACCTGTCCACGTCCCTTTGTTGCCATTGATGTTACAAACTCTATAGACAGGTTATTTAATTGCAATGGACAACTATCAAGAGACGATCATTTTTCCATTTACAATAATATAAGACCGTCTTGATGTGCAGGACTGTACCACTTGTCAGTTAGGGTCCTCACAAGGCTTCTGATCATTGGTTTAAAAATGAACCCCAGAAGATCCTTACCAACCTGGACACCTGCTTCTCTGTATTGTGTGCCAACATCAGCAGGAGCAAGTGTATACAGCCTGCCCAAGGAATATGTTTTGTTTTTTTTTTAGTTCAAAGTTATCTGTAGCAATAATGTTTATGCTATGCACTGTGCAGATTGTTCAGTTATTTTTCTGAAGCCACGTGTGGATAATTATGTTGGCGTTCTCAATTAGTAGAAATATATAGCGTAAGCGATTTTCTTTATAGTGCAGTGAAAAACACAGGAATATTAGACAATGTTAGACCAATAGGTTATACTGACCCCTTCAGGAGGTCAGGAAACTGCCAAAAGTTGTTAAATCAGCCCCCTGTATAACCCCTCCTCAAACCATCATGCCTCAGAGGAAAAAATCTAACTATATTTTTACTACAACATACTCTGTACGCCACAGAGGTTTTATCTTTTCAGTCAAGGCGTCTAATGTGCTGCTTGAACTTGTCTCTATACAGCGGCTATACAGATTGACATATCCTCAAAAAAAGCTTTTGGATGCTGTACCCAGACCCCACTTAATCATAATTTTCAGGGCTAGACCTTCAGACACTAGGCCCTGCTTCTAGTGCATTCCAAATATATGTGTGTTCCGTTTTTTTAAGTGCACTTTCCAGGTGTGCCCATAACCCTCTGTTTTGGTGTTCCTTGTGCCAGTTCTGCTGCCTGTACCTGATCCCTGTTCTGACCCCATTTCTGACCCTTCCTTCTTTCCTGCTGTTCCTTGCCAGTTACCCGGATGCTGGTGTTTGTACCTTCTTCCGTGTACCTAATCCACGTACATCCAATCCCACTGCTTCTTGTGTACATGATCCCAGTTCTGGTCCCATTCTAGACCAATCTTACCTGCTGTTCCTTGTACCTCCCCCTGACCTTGCTTATCCTGATCTTCCTGCTGTATATATATGTATATATATGTGTATATATAATATATATATATATATATATATATATAAAAGTGTATACAGCCTGCCCAAGGAATATGTTTTTATATATATATATATCTTAATTTTTTTGTTAGGTAGGTTTTCATTTGTAATTAGCTTAGTTTGTCTGGTAGGTTTTCACTGTTTCACATGTATTATCTGGTGTTTTTGTTTTTGTTGCTATGTTTATGCTGTTTTTCACTTGTGTTGTGTTCTCGATAAATCTCATTGCCACTCTTAAGGTGCCCATATACCTTACGATTATCGTACGATTTTCGTATGCGATCGACTTTTCGGATGATAATCGTATGTGTGCATTGCAGTGTCCGACCGACAGTACTGTACAATCGTACAACTTTTGACGGTCAAGCATGTTTGAAAACTTTGCTAGATCGTACGATTGTCGTAAGGTTGCTGGCTTTTCCGTCCGTCAAAAGTCATACGATCTACACTGCGCTTGCGCTAACGAAAATACGGCAAATCAATTACCGCATTTCGTCCAGGTGCTTTTCGTTAATTACGGCTAAATTAATCTTGCGATCATCGGGGCAGGATGGGGCTGCCGTACGAAAATCGTACGACTATTCGATCGTCGGACGAAAAGTTTCGTCCAATAATCGTAAGGTGTATGGGCACCTTTTAGTTTTGAGTCTGGTTGGCCCTGTGTATTTCTACATATCTGGTCAGGCGTGTTCTGCAGGATACCAGCACGTGGTGCCCTAACAATGAAGCACTTGCCTTTTGGGTATACATGCAGGATTGTGTTTTTCTTTTCTTCTGATGACCAAGTTGCTGCTTGGTCCAGTTTTTCTGCTGTTGCTGGTTTTACTCAGTTTCTACCTCTATTTTGGTAAACTACCTTTTGGTCCTTTTTCCACTTTGGGCCTATAAGTCTTAAGTACAGTCTTTTGATACGGTCCTGGTCTGTAACACTGTTTCGGACTTCTCTCCTTTTTAGTTGTTGACTTCTACACTGTGTATAGTATGATTTCTGTATTGCTGTGTTTCTCTGTGGCTGTTGCCCATCCCACAGTTGGACTGCTTTTGGACATTCCACTGGTTAAATAATATCTACTATTCCCTCAGTGGACAATGAAGAAAACAGAAATCTGTTTTTTGAAGTTTGAGGGACGCAGGTCCTACCCCTCTGTGTCTTTGGCCTCGTGCCTGCTTGCTCACAAAACTGAGGCATGACAGTTGGATGCATAGTTATACACGGGACTGGCTAAAAGAAGAACTCCGGCCAAAACTTTTCTTAACCCTTGCAGTGGGGCTACAATGTTTTTAATGGTAGTTGGTGAATTTAATGTGTAATAGTGTGTGGTTTTTCAATAAAAATTATATATTTTCTACAATTGGTTGATGTGTCCGGATCCTTAAGTTGCCCGCTACTAACCCGTTATCCTCTAACGGGTTAACCCTCGTTCTTTTGTTTTTTTGCTACCCCCATGCTGCCAGGGTTAAGAGCTCATTATTGTCTAGGTGCAGAAATAACAAAGTTATACTCACCTACCAGCTAAGGTATGTCCCTCGGTGTCCTCACGTCCTATACACCTTAGACCACTGCAGTGGAGGGGGAGAGAGGCTAGAAGGACCAGTCTAAGAGCCAGCCGGCTCCGAGGGTCAAGTGAGTATAACTTTTTTTAGATGAAAACTAGCACTCAACCTTTGCAGTGCGGGGCTAGCACCACTGCAAGGGTTCAGAAAAGTTTTGCCCGAAGTACTTCTTTAAATTTTTTTATTTGCCAGTGTCTCAACCTTATGAAGGCAGCAGTATAACCCATTGGTATAAGATTATATACTATTGCTGTGTCCCTCAATAGACTCCAAGAAACAGATTTTATGGTACGTACAGAAATCCTGTTTATTTTTATTTATCTATTACAGTTATTTATATATTGATACAGCATATGGTGACATGGATTGAGTTGTAGGTTTCTACGCTAAAGTATTCCTGCAATCTGTTTTTGTTTTTTTGTAGTGTGAAATTCATATCCTGCCCACTGCTGATACTCCATGCAGAAGATGACCATGTGATCCCATTCCACCTAGGAAGAAAGGTAATTATGGCCTAGCATTTTATTTATTAATAGCTGTCCAGACCTCTTCTAAAACTACATTGTACAAGAGTATTTCTGTTCCCTTTCTGCATTATGACATTATTTTCCTAAACCTGAGAACAAATGTTTTCGTTTGTTTTGACCAGTGCTAGTCATTACAATTAAAAATACGGTGCCTCCGTTATTTGTGTGTGTAGTCAGTAGAGCACAAAGTAACAGAACTCTGCATGCTGCTCTTTTCTCCATTTCTTATTCTCTATACCGTGAGCTTCATGTAGGGGCACATCGATGTATTGGTTCTTGGCCCAGAGAACCTGATGGTGGTGTTTGCTCAAGGGTTGCAGTGTTAAAAAGAAGTGTAAATATAAACTTATTCCACACATTCCCTGACCACTGACCTTAAACTAATCTTTAGGCCCCCTCCTTTCAAGATTCTGAAGCTTGGCCCAGTGGGAGATTCCTCCATCCACCCAGTTTAGCGTAGATGGGGGAACCTGTTGCACTTTTTCCATCTGACCACAGAAAATCTGCAGATAATCTATAGGGGTATGGCCAGCTTTACAGTGTGCCCCCTACTGGGTTCCTCAAAACGAACAGGCAGCATTTGTACCTTTTTGGATTTCTGTCAGAATTTTAATCCAACAGCAAGCTCTTACACCAAAGAGAGCAAGAGAGAGCACTGAGCATCATTGAGCTCACATATTTAAAAGCCCGTGGAGAACTGAAATTAATAATGAGTCGTGGCTACCAGGTAAGATGTGGATCTAGAAATGAAGGTTTGATTCCACGCTGAGCACCACAAAATGTCCAGACCTATGAAGCCCCAGGACAGGACTCATTAAGATTCTTAGAAAACACATTTTATATAGAGAGAAAGTTGATTAGAACTCCTAATAGAGCTGATTGTTCATATCCTTCTATTCTCTCAAGTGGTCTCTCACAAGTTAATGATAGACCAAAAGAAAAACCTTTTAGCTTTCTTGAAGTCACTTGTTGCAGTTACTTGTAGTGTGTTATGTTCATAAGTTTCTTAATGAATTTCATTTTATTTCTTTAGCTTTACAACATCGCTGCCCCAGCAAAGAGTTTACGTGATTACAAAGTGCAGTTTGTCCCTTTCCACAAAGACCTCGGATACCAGCATAAATACATATATAGGAGTCCGGAATTACGACAGATACTGAAGTAAGCAGGATACGTAAGACTGAGGACAGCCATATACTGCCTGATAAGCCGGTTGTGTCAAGTCACAAAATGTTCTCTTTTCTCCATCACAGAGCATTTATGCATCTATATTTTATCTGATTCAGGGAAAATGTTATTGGTCCTGGCAGTAGATTTTAATATAGATGGGCTATCCTCCACTCGCCTATTGTTCTTGGTGATAGACCTGCATGTCTATGGCCTCTCTTCAATATAAATGTACTTTTCTGCTTTTCATGGCACGTGGTGCAAATCATTTGCATAACATCCGCATGGATATTCATAGGTCCATTGCTGCCAGATATGTGAGCAGCAGAGATTGTTCCATCATTACAGTAGAGCTCCACAGTGTGTAAGTGACAGCAGACAATGTCCTCTTTGTACAAGACCCAGCTGCGACATCACTCAGTTTAACATGTACAGGGGAAATGGTTCACTTCATGCCCAAACAAATTCAGGAATAATAATCCCATGCTTCATTTTGGCATATGTATATGTTTCCCTAACTTTATTTTATTACTTGTGTTTGCTGCATAATATATCATTGCAAATCTTCACTACCTTGTATATTGCATCATCAATGCATAAACCTAGACAGGCTAAGTGCACTATGCAGATTGCTGTGACTCACATTAGAATTCATATTTTTCTAATCTGACAAAAGAAATGTAAGGTGCAGTAAACAATGCAGATTTCATAGTGCTACCTTACTACCTTACGGCCTGCTATGTACTGAGTTTTGAAGGACATAGCAAATGTCATCATGTGACCCTAAGGAGAACTATGGCCAAAAAAGGTTGATCCATAGTTCTCTTTTAATTGATTTCAGGAACTCCATACTGTGCTGTGAAGTGAAAATGACAACTGTATATTATATATACACCCCATAGTGGCATAGGCTGGCATACAATAACAAGAGCCTACAGCAATTAGCCATTATTATTGCTTGTTTTGTTAACCCATATATAGTAAAACTCTGACAAGAGATGTAGTAACTACATCAGTTTCCTGAAAGTAAATTTAAACTCAGCATTAAAATCTGAAAGGAAGTCAAAATCCCACTCTACAGCTTTAAGAAATACATTACTTGTAAATTCCCCAAGATAACTGTGCACGTGAAAGCAATCGCTGCAGGTGTATGAGGTGTAAGTGGCTGAATATGCAACAGTACAGAGCAATGTATCGCTCCCAGCCATTCGCTGTATGCCCCTTCACTGTGTGCAAAAGTCATTGCTAGGTTGTGGCGCTTCCGTTTCCAATTTTTTGTTTTGTAGCACACAAGTCGGACACTCCGGTCCGGTCATAACAGAAGCCGCACACCAGCACAACCCCCCCCAACAATGCCCTCCTTATCTTCTCCCTATCATTCATCAGACTACCAACTTCCCGGTTCTGGTTGTACTCCCACAACCCCACACCTATACCCCCCCCTCCGCCCTTTACACGGGACATTGCTCTCAATTTTCTGTAATGCAATAAAATGCCAGGCTGTTTCAACCCATCGTAAACCAGTGTTTTCGCTCTTAAGCCTCCATGCTCTGAAGAAGCAATATTTCTGTCCAAATGTCCTCTTTGCCCTTCTGTGTCCCCCTCACTTGGGTCAACTCACCAGATTTATTTGACATTTAGATCACAAAACAGATCATACAGCAGTTTCCCCACTTAAGGTAATATACACTTTTACCGATCTATTCATCCTCCTCGGGCTTGATGAATCATCAGTAAAGTACTCCAGATTGGTTGTATTAAAAGAAAAACAGAATCATCTCCTTAGCGTAAAATAGTTGTTATTATTATACAGGATTTATATAGTGCCAACAGTTTGCGCAGCGCTTTACAATATAAGGAAGACATAACAATCATAATACAATTCAAGACAAGATGGTAAGGAGGGCCCTGCCGTGAGGGCTTACAATCTAAAAGTTTCCTTTATTAATAAAAATCAATAAAACCACTTACATGCCCTGGAGCTATATCAGCACCATGTAATGCGACTGCTTTCCCTCTGCTCTTCTGGTGTTATCCCAGTGCGTTCTGACGTCACTGACCTGCCCAACACTTTGTCATTTCTGGACTTCCTCAGGAGAAGTGTCTAGTTTCTTAGTTGTCATACAGCCTTCATTACCAAGAATCTACACACTATAATTTCTTATATCCTCAATGATAATTGATTGAATCATGATTCATAAAACATAAGAGTCACCATGCCTTTCTCTTCTTTGCAGGGATTTCTTTGGCAGTGCCCAGGAGCAGCAATAGACCAACAACATGCAGACAGCCTGGATATTTCTGCGCGGTTTGGGGACAGCAATACGATCCCAGTGTATTTATGAAAAAGCAGGAGTTGGAGAGCTACCGTGTCAGGGCTTGCTCCTGCTTCCCCATTAGAATTAATCCATTCCAGTGTCCCTAGGGTACAACTACTATACAAGGGTGTCACTCTTATGTTTGTTTGTATGTTTTGCCTGCGACTGTCAGACTATAATGGGACATGTTGTGTTTTACAAGCAGCTAATGTAGAACCTGAAAATCCAACAGACATCGCCAAAAGTGCTAACTGGTAGTAAGCGGGCTGTCTGTTACATTTGTGCCCCCACTGTGAAAGGACTTGGATAAAGTTACTGGTAGCGAGCAAGATGTGTGTCCTAGCTGATGGCTGAAAGAGCTGCTGTATTACACTGAGGGAATAAGGTTCAGTTGCCATTATCAACGCAATAGGTTTAAAGGTTATGCATGTTAGAAGTTCCACTGTCTTTCTGTTAGCGGACAGCCAGTACTTTCTCCTTTACCAGATAGTCCATAGATGTGTGTGATTGTTTGGAATGGAAAGGGTAATGACTTGTACAAGGGATGGTGAGGGTATTGATGTTCTGCATCCTTCGTGATAAAACATGATAGATGCAGAAACTGAAATGGCCAGCTATGCTATGTACATAAGATGATCTGTTCACACTGCAGTTATTGAGCTTTTGTTTCCTTAGTAAGACAATGCTTTAGTTTATTATAAACCTATATTGTGACCTTTTATTACTTGGATTAGGTGTTGATTCAGTCAAAGACCCTGTGACTTCAGCTGAGAGCTCTGCTAATTATACATTCTGTGGATTTAGAACCTTGTTTGGTAAAAGCCAGTCAGTACACACAATAGGTGCCTAGCTGGAGAAGGTAGTCCTTTAGGCTGCATGGCTTTTCTCCAGCTTCCATTGTATGACATGCTTATATTCATAGGGCCCAACCCCAAGGTCTTTCTTAGTAGCACTCCCCAATGCACTGATATAACGGCGTTACAAAATCTACACATTGTACATATCATCTTTATTATTTGACATATTGTTATCAGATTTATTATTTGGAATGTCTGTCTGAGAAATACTTTTTGTGTCGATTTGAGCATTGGACTTCACAAATTCACTCCTCCTTCATCCACACTCCATCTGATAGATCAGCAGGGTGGCTTCCGTTGATGTTTCCATCGGCTGACATGGAAGAGAGAGCCTTTTTGCACCATGTACATTATTTGGCAGAAACAACCACAGTGATCAGTGAATATCTAATACTAAATAGGGTAGATCTGTGGCAGTGGCAGTGCTCGTGTTCTGCGCCTCCTCTTGCTATCCACACAATGGTTGGTTCGGGTGTGATGCATCAGGCCATTTAATTGAGACTACGGTTGCATATGCTTGGGATGAGCCGCTGAATCCGGAGGTTTAGGGAGCTTTGGCTCTACTAGAAGACAGTTTTCACCAGATTTCTGGGTGACAGATTTTGTAGGTCTGTAATGTGCTGATTAATCTGGATCTTCAAAGCATGCAGTAAGTCTTCTAACAAAAAATGGTGTTACAGGCTTTCTTGTGACTACAAAAGTCAATTTCCGTAAAGGAGAACTATGAGGTGAGTGAAAATTAAACTGTCACACCTCGGCTCAATAAATCGGGAAGTGAGCGAACACATAGCGTCGCTCGCTCACTTCTCGATCCTATCCCTGCAGAGAGCCGTGACTGTCACTCACGGCTCCCTGCAGGGATTCCTCCCCTTTTCCATCCTCCAGCGCTGACTGGCGGAACGGACGGGGGAGGGTGCGGGTACAGCTGGCTTTGCCTCTAGATAGGCAGAGCCAGCTGTCAATCACGCAGCTGGCTGGATCTCGACAGTAATGTCGGGATCCGTCCCGGCTGCGGCGGTCTCAGTATACAACAAACTGAGCTTCCGGTCACAGGAGTTTGTGTTCTCCCGTGACCCTTAGGAGAACTATGGGGAAAAACACTTACCCAATAGTTCTCCTTTAATAACAGCTGAGTTCTAAATTGACTGTAGATACACTGCTAAAAGTTACATGTGAAACAGTTTGCACTACTAATTGGAAGTTTGTCTGCATTTTCCTAAAAATTTACTTGAAATGACTTGTGGCATAAAGAAGGATCTTCCATAGCAATCAGAACATACGTCTTTTTTGTTTAACATGCTTGTTATATTAATCGTGAGTTACAGTCCGGATGGTAAAAGGTTGAGGTTTTACAATAAAACATACATTCTTTGTCATTCTGGAATATCTACTAGATTTTCCATATTACAGTATGTCCCTTTTTATATGTTAAAGCCCCTTCATGCAGTATCCTAGCTGTATCATAAGAGATGTGGTTTGGATTCCTAGTATGATTTACTGTATGTTCTGATGTGAATATTTGTGTTCAGCATGGTTACCATTTAACTTCTATTGTGAACAGAGGTTGTCATGCACACACAGGGTAAGCCAATCCTGCAAAGCACTCTGATGGACAAAAGGAGCTATTCATGTAGTTCACCAAGGTTTGTTTTAGTGCTGACCTGCACTGCATGTGAGACGTTTCTTTCCCCATAGAGGTTAATGGCACCTTTCTGTGTTATCAGAGAGTAAGCAATATTCAGGGCAAGCTACAGTAAAACCTGGAGACAGTAAGTGATGGAAACCCCACCATCTTGCTACATAGGGTAGCATGCTTCTTCTATGAAGAATCATCTCTTTTGTTTGAAGTATCACGCCATATTATGCTATTGTAATGATGCACAAATCTTGACCGAAGGATGCTTTAAAGTGAGGAGTTAAATCGTAAAAATCCTGTAGATCCTCAAATCATCTCTGAATTCTTGCTGACACTGTCCCTCCTACTGGAGGGTGGCTACTTTTGTTCCCCATGGTCCAAACTCCACTCCCATGATGGACTACAATCCCACATTTAGTTTACTCATTTGTCCTGAGATTGTAGTCTATCACGGGAGTGAGCTTGGAGCGGTGACTACTTTACAACACACACAGGGACCATGGGGGACAAAAGTAGCCACCCTCCAGTAGGAGGGACAGTGTCAGCAAGAATTCAGAGATGATTTGAGGATCTACAGCCAAGTGATACACAAATAAGATACATTTTTGTTAATAGTTTGGGTACTTGAATACATTTTTAAGATTTAACTCCTGAGTTTAGTGTCACTTTAATGTTGGACGACGAGCAAGTAAAAAAAAGAATGCTCTTTGCAATCCTCTTCCTAACACTTCATTAATCTTTCATTTTTAATGTAAAAAACATTCTCCAAGCAGCCTGATTTTTCTTTTGTAATTAGTTACCATACAGTGTATGAGTATCACTAGAACTACCTACATCATGTCCTGGTCACATGAGCGCTGGCTGCTGCCCTACATTTACCATGATCCCCCACAAATATTTTATTAAATGCTCGCAGATTCCAGCCCCAACCTCATGACACCACACACACACACACCGCTCCTGTAAACTACAGAGTGGCAGATAGGTGACCAGCTCTCGTACACAGAGGAGAGCCGCTGCAGAACTGGTCACCAACACAAGAAAAATCATTGGGGACTATCACATGATCATAGCTTTACCTTGGAAATAGAGCTGTTTCAGATCATTTATTCAAATAAAAATGGCAGATTAATAAAGACTGAGGGACACATACAACAAATAGCCTTTTTTTAACTTGGCCGGAGTTAAGCTTTGAATTCAGTAACTGTTGAATAAATGCCTTCTGAATGATTAAACTTTATTTTAGCTCCTGTATATTTTTACTAATTTTATTCACCATTTTATATTCCATCATTAATCCTTAGGCCACATTCGCAGCATTGTGATGTAAAGCTTCTGTTACCACACAAAGAAACATACTGTTGGTAAGATCCATTGTCTTCAATGATGCCTGTTCAGGCACCTGCACTGTGAGGAGGCAGAGTTAAATTAAAGAGAGGGTGAAAGTCCTGCACAGTTTTTGATATGAAATCGATTTGGAAGCATAAAAGTCTTATCACGACATATTAAACGCAGTGTTTGTGCTTCCACTGCATCCTAACGAGTCCTTACCCTAACAAAGCACATGTAAAATGTCCATTGTCATGCAATAATGTACACTTTTATATGTGTGGAATTAATATTTGCAAATGTACTTTTTTTATTGATCTGATCAAATGTTACAGATGGTTGAAAAACCTTTTTGCAATGTTAAATGAGCATGGAGAGAACGCTGCTTGTAGCTTTCTCAGGATTGTATTGCTGTGTGTCCCAGGCTAGGAGCGGTACAGATGTTCTCCAGCTAGGCAATAGTCCGTACAAAAAACTTAACTCGGGTTACAAGCAGAGAAATTTGGTGCATGTGTTTGCAAATGTGAATTCACACCGCTGCGTCAACAGTGCCCATACAAGTAATGTTCTGATCAAACAAGTTTTCACGAATCAGACAAAATGATTGAATATGTGATTTATCAAAAAAAAGAACTATATGCTGTGTTATTGATCGATTTGTATTAAACCTAATCCGTTCTATCAAAATTATGATGGGTCTGGGCCAAAAATCCAATCGCATGAAAGCAGGCAGGACCATGTGATTGTTATGCGTAGGGCACCTCAAACAATCTTTGTAAAATGGTTGTCACATAGGGTTTGAACGGGTTGATCAATGTTTAAACAGTTATTTCCAATCTTGTTTTTGATAGATTTCCATCATATGGACCAATCACATCTTATGATTTCATTACTCCCAGTCAGCAAATCAATCGAAAATACGATCGTAAATATAATCGCTCCATGTATGGCCACCATAACGCTAAATCAAGGGTAGCCAAAGTTCAGCCCTGTAGCTGTGGTGAAACTACAAATCCCACGAGGCATTGCAAGACTCTGATAGAAACAGGCATGAGTTCCAGTGGCAGATACATGATGGGATTTGGAGTTTCTGCACAGCTGGAAGGCCAGAGTTTAGCAACCCCTGCTGTAAACTACCTGAGTTCCCAGCAGTGGGACATGTATAGCAATGAATGAATTGAGAGCAGGCATACCAGGAGGCAGCGCCTTCTTTCTTAAAGGCACGGCAACACACTGAAAGCCCAGCATTGTTTATTTTGGATTCAGTCACTGTCATCTCACCAAACCTGTGTGGCAGAAAGCAGTTCAATCCACAATTTGATGTTGCTGCTATGCAGGGAGCAGACTGCTGGGATCAGACTACACACATTGCACATTTCTTTCACGGAGGAGCATCTAGTTACATTGCTCATCTGATATCGGCCTGTTGTGCAGATCACTCTTTAGATATTCATTGCATCAAATAAAT